GTCAAATGATCCACTCATGTAAACATTTATATAATATTATCAAAGTAATAATATTACAAGTTAAAACTGCCTGGAACGATATAGCATCTGTTTCCGATTCAGTAATGTTATTTTGATGTGTAAATAAGTATATTTCGATCTATTCCGTGTATATCTATCTGTGTGTGTGTGTCTATCTCTATGTGTTATGTATGTATATGTACCATGTGTGTGTGTGTGTATGTGTGTGTTTGTATGTTTTCATGTGTATACATACATACATACATACATACATACATACATACATACATATATACATACATACATACATACATACATACATAGTGTTTAGTTTTTTTTTCTTTACATTCATTAAATTTTCAAGTATTAGTGCTACTGTCAGTGTTGTATCTTTCTTTCTTTCTTTAACGTTCTACTACTTTAGTAATAAAGACAATGATGGAGTAATAATCGGTAACCAATTCATTAATTAGGTTAATTATCAAAGCGCTACGCTTATTCTCTTCTTTTTTTTCATAGAATGTATAGAAATCATGAGAATGTATTACTGTAAAGAAGAAGCATACTGTATATGTAAGAATATCGATGTAATAAACTGTGGATTTACTCGCACATATTGAGGAATATGTTTAGTTATTACTGTTATTATTATTATTATTATTATTATTATTATTATTATTATTATGATTATTATTATTATTATAATTATAATATAAAAAGATATTTTTCATTAGTTTGGTCGATAGATAATTAATGCGATCGTAAAAATGAAAGCGAAGAATTTTGAAGGAAATGTAAAACTTTCCTCACAATATTTTTCATTGTCTCCTGTTTCCAGGCAAAAAAAGTTAGTTGTGGGATAGAGAGGTGTGAGAGAGATGAGAGAAAAATTGAGCTTTTCAATTATCGAAAATGTGTTAAAAATGAATATAGAAAATAGTTTTGAAGTAAAAGAGAAAAGAGGAAAAGCTAAAGATATATGAGAAGAAATTGATGTTAGGGTTCAATCTCAATCTTAAATCATCACAATATTTTCTTCATCTGTCTACATGCAAAGCGTTGAGAGGAGGAAGAAATTCATAACGGAGAAAATTCAGGAGGAGCAAAATTCGAGCTGCTTCAGTCGTTCATTTTATCTTTCTCTTATAATATCTATCTAATCGTTTAGTAGCAGGATGTTTCAAGGAGGAAAGCCTAAAATTACTTCATATGTTACTTTAATACCATTTATCCAATATATAAAATATTGAACTTTGAAAACAACAAAAGATTAGTTGACAGTAATGTTTATGCTTACTTGTAATGTTTAATGATAGCAATGAATTCATATAGCTTTTGTAGAAAAAGTTCATTTAGCTTTCCTTGCTAACAACCAGTCCAATGGCTTCATCATCAATGAATACTACCACCACATCATCACCACCAGCAACAAATAATGTCACATCTCTTGATCCTATCCGACAAATGCTTCTGCTTCCACCCTCTGTACGGCCACCTGAATTCGAAAATCCATTGGAAAAAATTGAACAACTGCTAACATGTCCAATTTGCTTGGATCGTTACAAGTAAAATTTTGTAAATTAAATTATTACAGAAAATGAAATCAATTTTGTAGTTACCAAGTGAAGGTACAAATGCTTCGGCTTCTAACTTATTACTAATTAATCAGTGATAATGGCTTCCTGAAAGTATAAGTTAATATTTAAAGACTTTTCTTCTTATTATTATATTCCATCACACTCAATTGATATTGAATTTAAGAATTTAGACTTTGCCAATTTAAATTAAAAATTAAAATTCTAATTATTACTAATTATTAATTATTAACTGAACGATTTTTTTGTTTATTAAACAGTTAGTTCCAAATAACTCTGTGCTTCGTTCGCACTCTTTACTATGTGTTTCCTTACTTCAATTGTGATGTAACTCCAATATTGGCGATTTTCTTTCTCCAGTGAAAGATCCATTTAAAATATTTAGCTCTTCCTATAGCAAAAGTGATTTTTATACATTTTCCTACTAGCTTCTTAATGACACTTTTGTAATTCATCAGATTTTCATATCATGCGATCTCTTTCTGGCACATATCTTCCAACAGCTAACGACATCATTTTTGCCGTGGTATATATTCCATGAGAATGAAACTTTTTTGATTTCCCTGTCCACATCATTGGTGATCAGTAAAAAGCCATAAATTGAAAACGGATATGCTAAAGATGGATATCTATGTAAATCATTGTTTACATAGGTGAGATATCCTCATAATTCAACTTCATATTGTATCGTTCTTTTTCACTTGTCATCGTAACATAATTCAATGACGAGAATTGAACATATTTAATCTGTGACTTTCTGCAATTAAGAATAATGAAGTTTATGATTTTAATGAAACCAAAAAGTGACAAAATGATTGCTCTACTGAAATTTGACTTGTGTTTCCAACGATTTATTAATGATAGGAATATGTATAAATATAAATATAAATATATCAGTTTATACGAGCTGCATTTAAAAATGAATCACTATATGATCAACATGATCAACCATCTGAATCAGTGTAACAAAATGAAATAGAATGATGATTCTTTTGATATTATGATTCTTTTTCCTATATCTAGTCTCCCTTCGTGATAACACTAGAAAATTTTATCCATTAAATAATCAGAGAATATAGGTGATGCAAAATGATATGAAATAAATGTTTCAAATAGGTTCTTTTTAGCGCTCGATGAATATCAAAAGTTTTCACATAAACGTTTTCGTCTAATGTTTTAATTTTTTCTTCTTTAATAATAAATGCGATCAAATCACAGTTTCTCGTTTGTATGATTCGAAAGTCTGATCACAAGTTAATAAATCAACTGCTACGAATTTCGGAAAAAACTATATGAGAATTGTTTCTTTGAAAAAATTTGGGAATGTCATCATCTAAAGCCTGAGTAGTAAATATATCATGATGACGAGTTACATCTGATCTGATTCATCTCTATTTCCTTCTGAAAATAATCTCTCATAATCTCTTTACCTATTAAAGCTAGAAGTTAGTCAATTCGGTAATTTCAACAGATTCATCAACCAACTTCGTGAGTAATCGCTATTTTTTTGCAACGTTAGTTTGTTAGTTTCATTTTGTTGGATTAATTTGAAATATTGCCTTTTGTTTTCGTTTCTTTTTTTCTTTACTTACATCACTAACATTTAGTTTAAAATGCCTTTTTTTTTCAAAATGAATTATCTTATATGAGAAGGATCGGGAAAGTAAAATGCTTTCACGAAGAGCAATTTTGTCTAAAAATATAATCGACCATAAAGAAATGACTCATTCATTACTCATTCACATCTGTCATTTCCTTGATCTCTTTTCTTTTTCTTAAAACAAAAACTGGATTTGAAAAATTTACATTTTCTTTAACTTATTCAATTCAAAAAAGTAAAATTACAATTTGATGTTTATTGTAGAAATATTGCAGACAACCGAAACTATTACCATGTCATCATACATTTTGTTTACCGTGTTTGGATAATTGTGTTGATGTGGTTCATCGAATATTGAAATGTCCGGAATGTAGAGCGGAACATCCGGTACCATATGAAGGCGTCAAAAATTTCCAATCCAACTACACACTTACAGGTTTCTTGGATATACATTTGCAAGCAACAGATGATAATGCTGCTCAATTGGAAGCTTATATCCAGAGGTTTTTTTCCTTCATCTTTTTATTTCAAATATAATACTTTTAACTGTGTTCAAAAATCAACGGCGTTTAATGATTGTTGAAAGAGAGAGAGAGAAGAGAGAATAAATTGTGTTGAAATGAAATGGATAAGATGAAGTTGTAGTAAAGAAAGAATAATTTACTCAAAGAATAAAATGATGAAATATGGTAGGAAATATTTAAAAGAAACGACAACTTTTATTTTTAATTGTCTATTAATTTATATTGTTTTAGAAAGAGAAGTAATAAAAAGAAAATGGTTTTTTCGCTGTTGTTGTTGTTGTTGTTTTTTTCAACGGTTTTTTTGTTCGGGGAAATTCTCTGAGAATTTCTTAAATTTATTTATTTGAAATTCATGTTACCATTTGAATTTCATCAAAAATTAATTTTCATCTCTTGATACATATCGAATTACGGCAGTTTACAGAGAAGAACCATTCTTTCTTATCACAATGTTTAGTTGAAGAAAATGAGGAGAAGAAGAAGAAAAAGAGGAAGAAAAGGATAGGTTGCTTAAAACCTAATCATACTGATAACAGAGAGAGAGCACTATGTTCAACAGGTGCTTCAACACAAATTGAAAACTCAAAAATTGCACAACTGTTTGAAGGAGTAGAATACAGCTGATAGCTCAAGGGCTATATGCCTCTGCTTATCATTTCAAGTGGCATATATTGTGTGATGAACACCTGTAGAGCAAAGTAAAATAATAACATGCTATGCTGTTCGATATCCAATTGATACTTAATTAAAGACATGATGAATTTTGTTAGGATTGAAAAGTTTGGAGAATTTACAGGTATAATCTGGAACGATGTAAAATTTGTGAAGAGAAAGCTGTATTGGACATTTGCGCTCATTGTGAAAAGCGAGCTTGCAGTGATTGTCGGGCAACACATCTGGAAATGTTGAAGCGTGATCTAACGAGAATGCTCAATCAGGTTCGACTTGGCTCAACCTATTTTGACCATTTCAACTTACTTTCATATATACAGTACATATATACAGTCCTAAATACATTAGTAGCATTTCAGATTAGCTTTAAAATCATAGTAACTGAAAATCATTTGACGAAGTGCTATCAGGTAAAATAACTTATTACTGTTACGATTGGCCTAAACAGTAAATGAAGCCTAACATTATAATGATTAGTATCGTTAATCCTACTGAGAGAGAAGAGAGTATTATTAAAAAAGTTCTTCTGAAGTTATCTTGAGTGTATAAAATACTTTTGAAATTCATAACTCTGAATTACTATTTAAAATAATTTTTAGAAACAATGTCTTTTGAATATATTGAAGCCTTTAAATCTTTGAAGTTTTCAAAAATTTTGGGAGTTGAAAATTTAAAAAAGAACTTAATAGGTAATTTTGGCATAAAAAAACATACCATATTTCAGGTCAAACGCTTATCAAATCGAATTACAGAAGCATCTGATGGTTTAAGTAAGGGAGCGGAACTGTTATCATTGAATTGTGAAACTGCAAAGGATGAGGTAACACATCTTATCTTTCATTTATACCTTCAAATGTTAGCAGGACAATTCAAGTTCTTTCTGGTTTCTGAAATAGCATCACTGTGAAGATGATTAAATTGAAGAAATTGAGGAGAATGTAACTGAGCTGAATTAAACTTATGGTATTGGTACCATGAATTTTCGAACAAGTTGAAGTAAGTCAAAAATTCATGATAGCACTAGTTGATATTAGTTCATTAGTTCATATTTGTCAATGTTAGTTCATATTAGTTCAAATTCATGATACTTTTTAAAACACAGGTCAAAGAATATTTCCGTCGTTATTATCGAGAATTAAAAAAACGCGAAGAAATGTTTGTTGAGGAAATTGAAACATTTAATGCAACCGAAACTCGATTAATGCGTAATTTACGTGATGTACTTGAAATCGAAAGTTCGAATATGAGCGAAGGTTTTTGAATTTTATAGCAAATTTCTATCATCGAATTCTATTATTTAATCTATTAGTGACATAGAATGTGGGAAATGTTGCAATAACAACACATAACTCTTCCCTCATTTAATATTTCCTCTTTTTTTAAAAAAAATTTCGACCAAAATTTAAGGAAAAATTACTGCAAGAAAAATTTTGAAAATCACTAACGTATAAAAACCACTGTTTGATTATTATTAAAATCTTTTATCTAGGAAATCATAGATATAGTAATGATAGTTGTGATAGTTAGCCTAATGATAGTTAGTGATGATAGTAAAAACTGTGTAGTAACACAGTTTTTGGGTCTCATGAAAATATTGATTTAAAAAATTCGTAATTTCATAAATTAAGAGAAATTTCTAGAAGAAAGTCAAATATCTCTCATTTATTTTATTATTAGGTTGTGCATATTTGGAAGCAGCATTGAAAGGTGAACGAGAAGTGCAAGATTCTGAATTGGTGAAATTGAAGAATGTTTTCTCGGATGGATTGGAATATTTGAGGAATTTTCAAGTAAATTAAAAACTAACCCTGCATAGCTTATAGTGTTATTCACTCATTAAATTAATTTATTCTTAATTTGCAAATAATATTCGAAAATATGATAATTGAACAAAATGAGTAGTAAATATTTAATTATCAGCATGCGCTTTTATTTACTCAAAGAAAGGATAATCTTAAAAAAATTAAAAACCATGCTATTTTCTTTCGTCTATAGATTTTAAAATTATTCTATCATTTTGTTCACACTGAAAGATTTTCTCTATTCTTCTTTCAAATCTATCTTATCCTTAGAGATTTACATGCTTTGAAGTAACAGATCCATTCCTAAATATCCTGACAGACATTTTGAATGAAGAGACAAAAACCCTTCTAATGACTTTTAATATACGTCATGGTTTTCCAGTCTAAGCAAACTATGCCATTGATTGAGAGAATATCATTGAGGAAGATTAAAGCGATATGGATAAGATATCGCTATAATTTTCTAATACTTGTAATGATACTGTAAGAGTGAAGGTAATTTAAAATGAAATCACTCGCAATTTAGTTTTATGATATCACTTTTACTTCATAAATTTCTGTTGAATGTTTTGGCAAAAAAAAGGGAAATAATAATAATTAAAAGTTTGAAGAGTTTACATTTACAACATTTCTATCTGAGAGAAACTTTAGAAAATCTTTTAGTATCATTTAATTTTACAAAAAACTTTTCCATTTTCTGCTAATCGATTAATTTTTTTCGTTTTTAAAAGAAGTTAAATTTCAAATTTTTAGCCTGATGCCGATGAACTTTTCTCGAAAAAGTTGCGCTTTTCGCCTGGTGATGATGCTTCAAAGTTACCGGCAGCTATTGCGAGTTTTGGCGAGCTCACTGTCATGATACCGCAATTTGCTGGACGCTATCTTCCGCTGGAACAATCCTATCTACCACGTCCGATGAAAATTGGTTATGAATCGGACAATTATAAGTATGCCAGTAAACGGACGGTTGATTTGGAAGAAGGAGGTGGACGTCCCCAAAACGATTTTCGCAGTACGGCGGGTCGTTATGGGATGCGTTTTAATGCCGGTGAGGAGGATGTAATGTCTATACGATATCGCCGTCGGCAACAGATGGAAGAAGAAGCCTGGAATCGATTGAGGGCAGAAAAATTTGATAATTCTGGCCAAGTACTAAGTGGTGTTAGTAATACTGGCACCTCTGGAAATATTGGTAGTGGCACTTGTCATAAACCAGGAAATAGTCCATGGAGTCGTGCTGTGGTTGGAAATGCTGTGAGCCAATCTGTTGCTACGACTAATGTTATTACGAAAAATGATTTAGTAACCAAACCTGCAAAAACTGTAGCTGAAGACTTATCAGCTACTCCTACTACTAGTAGTAGTTCGAGACAGAGCGATCTTAACTCAGATGATAATTCAGTGAACAAATTTCTAGTGGTTCCCAAAGGTGTGGTATTAAATGAAGGTCAACCTACAACAGAATCAGCAGTTATCTTAGCTAAAAATCAATCGACGACTGAAATTAGGCAGTCGGATACTAACCAAATAAGTAAGACCACCGGTACTACCAAAGCTCTATCGCAAAATTCAAGAAATACTTTAAATCTATCACAACAATCGCAGGAAACATCCGCTGAAAATACAAAACCAGTGCTATCACAGTGTCATAAATCCGGTAATCGAAGTCATATACCATCACCTTTACCAACAAACAATCATCCAAATAAAAGTATCGATGCTACTGCTAGTAGCACTGCAAAACATTCGGCAGCAATATTGAAATTAACACAGAAACCGCCATTACCACGACAAATATCAAGTGATGATACAAGTTTAAATGAAAAAATTGAAAATATTCGTACAGCTCATGAAATGCGTCGTGCTAATCGAATTCAGAATGGATCACCGAAACAGTTAATGCCTTTGAGTGACACTGCTCACAGTAGCGCTAATAACAGCAAACGGGATGCTAATACAAGTGATGAAAGTGAATGCGAAAATGAACCAGTCCAACGGAAGCAGACAAGTAATCGTTTTCGGATTATTTGCCGTAGTGCTTCTGAATCCAAGGAACAGATTACCCATCAAAATTCTTCCGATCCAACTCCTCCCTCGTCAGTAACTCCGAAAACAAGTGAAAGTTCTGAAGGATCATCGTTGCCGATTCCAGTTACACATTATCCAGGTGAGCAGTTGCCATCTTGGTTACTGAGGCGTCGTCAGCGTTATCAACGGTCTAAGACAAATCCTGAATTGATTTCTGTATTAGCTGCTTTAAACGGCCAACAGAGTAATCTGTCAAGCCTAGCATTTCCCTCTGCTGATGATAACAATAACAGTGTAAGTTCCAATACTACCAGTACTATCAGCCAGATACCATCTTCAAACAGTCGGGTTCAACAGCTTCTTTTGGAACGCTCCAATCGGCTGGCCGGTAACGGTTTATTGATGCGTCAAGATAGCGATACCAGTGATATGGCAGTAGTAGCTGCTTCCTCCTTATCAAGTCAGGATCGTCGATTACGATATCGTAAACGGTCCATTATTGCTTTGGATAGTGAAAGCTCCTATGATAGTCGTCTACTCCAGGCTCCACGTTTCATCTGTACTGTTGATTATCTGGCAAAAGCAAAACCAAAATTGGTGTTTGGCAAAAAAGGTTCCAAAGAAGGAGAGCTTAATTGGCCACGTGGTCTTGCCGTCTTAGGTGGTAACGAATTTGCAGTATGCGACAGCAGCAATCATCGCATTTGCATATTTAATACAGATGGACGTTTGTTAAGGATGTTCGGAAAATACGGCACCGGTGATGCGCAATTGGATAGTGCTGCTGGGGTATGCTACAGTCGAAACAAACGTCTGATTGTTTCCGATCGTTATAATCATCGAATTATGATTTTTGATCAAAATGGGCATTGCATGAAAAAATTTGGCGGACATGGCCCATCAAGCGGTCATTTCAACAATCCATGGGGAGTAGCAGTCGATGATATGGGGATAATTTATGTTGCGGATAAGGTACGTAGGTGCCTAAAAGCAAACAAAGACAAAATAGTGTAACAGTATATTTAAGCTACATCGTCGTTACTCGGAGTTTCCAGGATCGTCCGGATGCAGTACACTGCTAATGCTGGAGAATGCCTGTATGAACGATACATCTGACGCTTTTTTCCCATTTTGGAAACTGCCGTCAGCTACGTCATTCTTGAGATCTTGTATAATCAAAAAGCATTTGTGCAGATGCATAAAAACGCTGATTCAAATATTTTGGATGGAAATACTTGGCCAATCTATGAAACCAAACTGATGAAAGCCATTCATGCCAAGGGTACGTCAGAAGCTTTTGTTAATGAAAAAAAAGCGGCGGTTACCACTTGATATAACAATGATGATGTGCTGCACTAAAATGGACGATCCTGCGAATCACGAAGTTATGACTATTAGGCTAAGTTTTCATTAGTCCTCAGATCAGGAAGTTATTATTATTGGTTGATTGATGAATGAGAAGTGATTCTAGGATGAAAGGAATGATTTCTTGGTATTTTTTTTTCAGAGAAGTAAGATTAATGAGTGTAGAACAGTGTTTCAGAACATCCTGAAACAACTATTAAAATGATTGTAAGCTGATAAGGGCGATAAAAAAAAGATGATCCTAAGGTTGGAAGAAGAATTTCAAATTTAAACTGATACCAATCAACAAAGTACAATTGACGTGGAAAAAGCAAATTCAGGACAATCATCGTGTCCAAATGTTCGATGGCAAGGGACAATTTTTGGGCAAATTTGGTACAGGAATTGGTCAATTTAATCATCCACAATTTATTGCGATTCATAAACGAACCCAAAATATTTATGTAACAGACAGTTCGAATCATCGAGTTTGCATCTTTGATCACAGTGGCAATCCAATCTTTCAATTTGGTTCCGAAGGATATCAGAACGGCCAGATGAAATTCCCACGTGGAATCGTCGTTGATGATCAGGTTTTGTGTCCCAGAAACCTCTCACACTATCTCCATATAGTTCCTCCCTCAACTTCATCATTTTATTCTCATCTTCATCATAAAAAAAACGTGTTTATTTGCAAGTTTGTGAAATGTTGTTTTTAAGAGAGTATTTTATCATCATACCTTTCTAAATTTAAATTCATGATATATGAGCAATCCTACTTGTCGGTTTTTCTCAGTGGGATGGTGCCATACGAATAATACTGCTAAAAACTGAAACTTTATTTTCATTTCCCTTTCCTTACTAAGTTTTGAGATTTCTCCTCTCAGACTATCCATCCACCTATCATACAAACTTTTTTCCCTCTCCTCAAAATTTTCCAACTTTTCAAACTTGAATAAGTAAATTAGCGGGAAAGTTAAATTTCTACGAGTATTAAAATCAATTCATAAATTCGCAAATAAATTAATAAATGAATCTAAAGTAATTTTTTCAGGGTTTCATCATTGTAGCTGACAGTGGTAACAATCGCGTGCAAATTTTCTATCCAAATGGTCGTTACATGCATAGTTTCGGTGCATGGGGTAATGCACCAGGACAACTTAAAGGTGTTGAAGCGGTTGCACTCATTGGTACCACAATTATTGTTTCCGATCGTGAAAATCATCGTATACAATTGTTCTAGTCACTTTCTTTTGTTTTTTCTCTTTTTTTTTGATTTTGAAACTTTTCACATAATAATAATATATTAATAATAAATTTCGGGATATTTTAATTGTCTCAAGGATTAATTGATTGATGAAATAATTCGTTGATTGATTAATTAAATGATATGTTAATAATTTGTTTAAATAAACAAAATATCAACTAATTTACAAATGATAATTAACATTTTAATTATGGAGCATTTCGATGTAGTTATTGCAAGTAACGATATGTGCAAAAGCCAAGCTATCGTTTGAAAGTAATAAGTGTTGCAGATGTTGATGTTGACGATACCATATCACAAGCAAAACTAATCTTTGAATTATAATTTCATCCCAAACTGTCAATATATTGAACAGAAAATCTGCAGTAAACAATGAACTCAAAAAAAATTGTCTTTTCAGGAATACAAAAATTTGCATCCAATTTCAGTTTTAGCAGATCAGATTGGCTTTCTTCAATATAAAACTTGTCCGAATGAATTGAACAAAAATATGCAAATTTAGAAGCAGCTGCACAACTTGGCTGCTATTATGCATTTGTCTCTTTATCACATTTCCCTGTTAGTACAATCGAAGTTTTTGTCATCCGAATCAATGATTGGATCATATAATAAGTGATTTAAATTTGCACTGATTTAAATTCGCTTCTGAGGTCAACCAGTAGAAGATTAAGAAAATGGATGAAATTAGATTTGGTCTGAATTTTGAATGAGAAATTCTATCATTATATACATATAAAATTAAAAGTTAAGATTAAAATCGTTTATTTGTTGCTTCATGTTTTGTTTTCAACGATGAAATAAAACTAATGGATCAGAACTTCTGGTATTTAAGACTGACTTGAAATATTTTACTTTCAGTTTAATTTGCACATTCATCTTACTTGCTTTTTCGTTAGTCAAAAGCTAATTAACCAAAATGAATGAAAAAATTTTTCATATAAGAAATTTATTATTGTTGTATCTTCCAAAGCTCCAAAGCTTCACGTATACGAATGCAGAAATATCCTGCAATTTGATCGATCCATTATCGTTCACTGCAAAAGAATGGAACAAAAATCCAAAATTATCTACTGTTTGATAAGTTAGATGTTAATTGATGGCGGAATTTAAGGAATGATCGATGCAAATGATATGTTGATAATTGTTTTCACTGATAATCAATCATTTACCTCCATTGGCTAAACGAATATTAAAAAAAAACACGTGCGCTTTTGCTGAAGTTTAAAATTTAAAAGCTCTTTTACACAATTTGTATTATTGTTATCACAATGAAATCAATAGCGAAATCTTTGTCACATTGAACTTTCTGATTATTAATTATGTCATAATGATATAAACATATTAAATTACAAAGTAATATTTTTTGATTTAAAGTTTTCTTTCAATTTAAAAAGTTAGAAGAATTTTTTTCTTTGAGTACGAAAAGATACGTACAGAATAATTAATTAATATTATCTCTAATGATCAAAAAGATAGAGTAATTTTTAAATACATTACATTTGTATATCATTTCGAATAAAAGAGACTATAATAAAAGAGTTTCTATAACTTTAGTGAATTGAAATGTAAAATTTTGTTGTCTGTCAATAAGCAATAGTTCCCTTGCCATTGTGTATTCTTAATTATTTGATGGAATATTCATTTGGCATAATGGAATGAGCGATTCCATTGAACAGACAGATATTTTTGATGTATTTGGAATGTCTCGAAATGAAGCCTATAATTTCATTCTTTTCCCTTTCTTTTGTAATAAACTAATTACGGTGAGAAAAAAAGATTTTAAGAAACGTCATAATTTCAGGATAAGATTTGTCGAAAAATGTAAAATTCTTTCAGTCCTAAAGATCGATATTATATATTATAGTTAAGATGTGATGGGGGAGCTTTTCTTACAAATATATTCCAAAATTTTTAATTCTACTTATAAATTTTTTAAATCAATATTAAGATAAACTTCTGTTAAAACATTTCTGCCTAGTAGAATTAGACTAAGTTCAACATCATCCCTCATATTAGTTAACTTTCATATTTATCACTTCATCATCATTCTTTGACAAAAGATTCTATTAGGAGAATTCTTTATAAATTATCACTTCTGATAAATGAAAGATATGGCTGTCTTCTTATATTAGCAGTAATTTTTAGAGAGGTTACTAAGAACAATACAATTAAATGATAAATCAGTTTTCATAAAATTTTCTATCAAAAAATATATAATCGAAATTTGGAATAAAATCAGAAGTTAAAAGAATTTTGGAAGAAAAATTGTCTTAATTATCAAATTTTCATTAATTATAACTTTTTTTTTTTTGATTTTCAAATTAATATTTATTTGTATCAACTTAAGATGGCTGGTAATATTTATCAAACAAATCTGATAAGCGTATTTCTTCTTTGCCACCCTTTTTTGTAGCATTGATAAGTTGAGCTCTTTTTGTCTCTCTGCCATCCTTTTTTGTAGCATTGATAAGTTGAACTCTTTTTTTCCTCTCTGCCACCCTTTTTTGTAGCATTGATAAGTTGAGCTCTTTTTGTCTCTCTGCCATCCTTTTTTGCAGCATTGATAAGTTGAACCCTTTTTAAAGTTATTTTTGCTGCAGCATTTTCTTGCTAAAATATGCAAGATTTTTACTTCCTTCGAAAAAACAAAAGAAAAATGCTAACTTCTAACAAGCATATAAGCGTTTAGAAAATTAAGCTTTAAAATTTTGTTTTATTAAGGCGCATTTATCGATAAGTGGTAAATTGATGCTATTTGAGCGGCATTTAAAAGATCACTTAGAATCAATATATCATATTGATATTGAAATATGATAAATTATCATTCATTGTTTACATTTGAATTATTTTACGAAAAGTAGAAGTGATAAGAGAGGAAAAGTGGAAAATGAGATTGAAGAAAAAGATAGATTTTCAACAAAGTATTTTCCAGTAGATGTAATGGACGAGGAACAGCTGCGCCAGCTTATCTCTTCCCTATGCATTCTATCAAAAGAAGGACCTATTCCATGTAATTCTTGCCGAACTTATTTATAATTTATTTCTTTTTGAATTATTTCTTTATTTCTTTATCAATCAATAATCTATCATAATCATTATTTAATCAAAATAATAATCATTCTTTCTTTTATTTCTTTATCAATCATTAATCTATCATTATGAGATATGAAATACTATGCTATTATAAAATGAAAAAAAACAAAAATGTTCATGAATATATTTTGGAATAATTTTTCCTTATAATTAATTTACCAAGTTAAATATTTATGGAGTAAATAGCAAATTGTTCTACGTTATACAATCTCATATATGAATTGTGTATGATCTAAATTTTAGAGTGAATCGAAATACCCGGGTTATATCTCCTAAGAATGTTAAATAAACTAAAGTATATAAGGTAGATTACATTTACAGTTATACTTTTAGAATTATAGGTAAGATTGGAAGTCTTTAACTTTGATACTAACAATTGAAAATTTTTCCAATTTCTAAACACATCACTGATTTTGTTTCATTTTAATCATTTTTTAAACTTCAAATGAAATTACTAAATGGAAGATAATTAATTTTATTTGAAAAATTAATTTAGTAGTAAAAATTTTTGCAGTGAATACAATCAGTGCACTGATCAGTTCAGCACCATGTAAGAAGTTGGCTTATCATTTGCATCAACGCTGGTTGTCGGAACAAAATTTCACAAAAATTGCTGCACATATCATCCTACAGCTTCAGCATGTAACCTTTCTACTCATATAAATTATATTATAAATTAAAACAAGATTTTAATAGCTATTTTGAGGTAAATAAAATTAATCGCTAAGAGACAGTCACAATGATGTTCATCTCTTCCACTAAAACTTATTATCTATTTTGGAATAAGAAAAAAAAATGTTTTTAGGTGAATGAGGCAGATCCTGGTATATTCTCCTGCTGTTTGACACATATTTTATCGGATTTTCGATCCAGGCATGAAGTCAGAAAAGGAAATAAACTTGTTTTCAGGTAGTTCGCTAATTAATACTGATTAGTTAACAGGTTAGGACTAATAATTATCAGCAATTTTGTTTCGCTCTTTTTTCAGCAAGCAGAAGTAAATTAATTATAGAAACATTGTTCGAGCGATATTAGACTTCTATCCTGCATATAAAGTAATCGATGAAACAGTAAGTGAAAGTTTGATTGATCCGATGTTTGTTTCAATGGAAGAATTAATCTATGACGATGCCGATGAAAGAGATATTGAAGTATGTTTGTATCACTTTTATAATTAGAGAAAATGAATCTAATTAATGTGAGTTAAAAAATACTGAACCTTTACTTCTAGCAAAAATTCGCAGAATTTCAGACTGCTGCAGAATTAATCATAAGTCATGGCGGCACATTACTGAAGATTAAACCTGGCAAATGTGATAGATTTATAGCGGCATTACGGATACATCTTTGTGAAAGTGATTTCAAACCTGTAACTCGGCGACTGATACTACAGGTTTGTACAGAGCATTATATACTAAGCGCAAGAATGAAATCCATAGATTTTGAAAATCAAAGAAAATAATTTTGTGGATGAATTGATTTCCTTGTAAAAACAAACCGGATATATCGATTGCTGTTAACTTTTCGTAATATCAGAACTTTATTAAATTTATGTAAAAATATATTACAGAAAAAAACTTCTAAAGAATGTTTAGTTAAAATACCCGCATTCGATGCATTCTAAAACAGATGCTACAACTTCAGTAAACATTTTGAATATTAATTTAAAGCAAAAACTTACATCAATTTTTCAGGCCATGGATTTGTGGACTTATAAATGGGACAGTGAAATAATGCCTTTTTGTATCAGACAATTCTATGAACCATCCATACAGTTCATCAAAAATCCTACAGAAACATCAAAATTCCTATCAGAAAGCAGAACAAAAAGAAAGGAAAGTATTGTGTAACTGCATAGTATTGTAGAAAAACTGCGATTGTTCAACCAACAATTACTGAAACTATGCTATTTTATTCAGTCGTGTATATGCTTGATGCGCCGCAATAAAACTTTTGACGAACTTCAAAGAAGTTTTAGGCACTTCATATTCTTCCTCACATCACTTGAAATTTTTGCTGCTGGGTTTCAATATAAAAAAAATAAGGGGTTTCATAAGGGTTTCAATATAAAAAAAAAAGACCATTTGAATGTAAGAAGAAGAGATATGTAAGAAATACTTCGAAAATACAAAAATTTGTAAATTTGAGATCAGCTCCAAATGAAATTACAGATAATCACAAGCAACCGACAAAGTGCTCTATCTCAAATAACATCACCGCCCACAGATTTTCCATAGTACGGAGGCACGTTCATCCATGCATCATCAAACTCAATTTTTTCGATGATTGTACGAATTATCCTTGATGAGCCAAAGAAGTCAGTTACTCGAACTCTCGCCGGATCCTGAATTATATTTTATTTTCAAATAATATTTTGAATCAACCGAACATGACAAAATTATGAAAAACAAAAATGCACCAGCAAAATTTTATATATGCGAGATGCATGCCTCAAATAAATCTACAATGTTAGCCCAGTACTCATTATTAGCTTAGCGACCAGAGCACTTCTCGTATTAGGATTTATTAAAGTGATAAGCGGAACGCATAAGTAAAGTACATACTTTCGAATACAAATCCGTACGTACACCGACTGTTGAAAGACATTTCGATTTCGGACAAGAATCAAAGTAATCAGTCATAGATCTATTTGTCAATAACGACTTGACTTCATTTTCAAGAAATTCAAGTGTGAATTGCGTATATCGATCTATGATATATACACCAATAGATCTAAAACATTAATAAAGGCTAAAAAAATAAACTAACTTCAAATAGGAGAAAAACAAAAAATACAGTTTTGAGATGAAGAATGAAAATTCAAACTTACTGATCAACATCATACGAAAGAGAATCTTCGCCTACAAGAGAGCTACTTGTTGCAAGTACATTCGGGCTATATATTTTTTGATACATCGATTCACTTTGACATGTATCTGCTATCACAAGCATTTCATTATATCTGTAATATTGATAATTTGACCAGTACTTTTCTCTACTAAGACTGTCAAATCAGTTGAGCTAATAGTATGATCTCCTCAGTATCATTTGTTCCTAGCACTTTTTAAACAAATATTTCGAGAAAATTTTACTTAAAATAGCATCTAAAAAGCGCACCTATTGCCTTGATACATAGTTTCGATGGCGTCCGCCAAATCAACATTTGTTAATTCTTCGGAATCCTGGAACTTCAAGAAGCCATCACCGCCATGTCCAGTAAGGTAAATCAGAACATTACTTTGGTGATCTGAAAGAAGACGTTTCGAGCGTGGCGTAGCTGGATGAATTCTTCCCGTCATAAGACGCATGAAATTTTCAACTGATACCTGAAATAGAAGTTGAATTTTAAGTTACCTAATTCATAGGCTTTATCCAAGTTAAAAAGTTAAAGTAAACAGTATAAGTTAGATCCTATTTGGTACCTCATATCCACGATAATCCACTTCAACTTCAACACCATATAGGTTGATACGTTCATATTTATTGTTGTATACCGCACCTTAAAACATTCTAATATCTCGAAGAATTGACAATATTATCTAAAGGTATGAATGATGAATGAATCAATAAATTAAAAATGCTAACCAGGTTTCGGATTTCTGGCGTTGCACGGCATATCATCAGCTAACATAAGTATAATATTGCTGAAATGAAAATATTTGAAATTATATTTCAAATGACGTGTGTTCATATGGAAGCAAATTTTCAGCTCAAGAAAAAACGAAATATACTCAAATTTCTAATATGCCCACTGTATCGTTCACCTTTAGTGCTTCCTCTCTTCCCTTCTAATTCCTCCTCTACAATGGCATAAGTTCAAATCCCACTAAGAGAAGTAATCTCACCAATTATAAGCCATACAAAAGATGTTAAAAGGACCGAAGAGAACCTTTTATTCTTTTTAATAATTCAGTTTCAATAAGATAATGTAAACTATATAAAGTTTCGCTAACGATAGGAAAAAAATTGATATGCGATGAAATAGCTAACTTTTTAATTGTTCCTTTTGCGCTTTTATATCATCATGAATCATTGGGAACGTCATATGGGCGTTTAAAAGAAAATAAAGTGACTTATCCATTCTTTTGCTACCAAAGATACAAACCTATCAGGAATTCCAAGCCTTTTTACTGAATGGTATAACGATAGAACATTGGCAACATGACGGTAATTAAACCAAAACCGTGATGTACAGACCAATATTGCCCAGTTATTGGTGTGTCCTGGAGTTTCGAAGAATGACTGCACACGCCTCTGTACACCTGTTTGTTGCTGTATTGCGGCAACTGCCGAAACAGCAAGAATAATTATGAAAGAGAACATTTGGAGGAACAGACTGGAATAATTCACTTGAAATCCACTGCGGCGGTTCAATTAAACCAATTTTGAATAGTAACGAATTCTGCTTGCAAGAAGACTTTGCAACAAACTCTGCGATTTAAATCTGATTCAAATCTAATTCCGTCATCAATAAAGTGAGATGCAATAGCAGCGCCATCCTCAAACATGAAGTAATTTATCCATTATTCTGTTACTTCTTAAATCAAAAAAAACTTTGATTTTAAGAACCAACTGGAAACTAAAACAACTTGAAAAGATCCGTTATGTAATGAATTCCAGTCACAAGAATATTAGCACAGCACATGTCGAAACTCTCAATTTCTTTGAAACATCTTGTCAGTTGGTCTAAAATTGCGCCAACATTCTCCGACAGTGAATACATTTGAGACGTATTTCGTAAATATACACATATCAAGCTACAAATGTGCTGCTTCAGTAGCTTAATATATTGATCCACGAAGGTTCTACAATTTTTTTACGACATAGCTTCTTAGCATGTTGTCCATTACACTAGACACAAGAATTTCTCAGTTAGCGAGAACTCGCAAAATCGCAAAATAAAGTTTCTCAATTCAAACTGTATCAAATTTTATCAATGATGTCACTACAATTCAATGTGATTTGTATTATAGCAATTTTCATGAGTTCCAATTTATGTGAACCATTCTATCTGACAAAAATTCAAAAAGATTCCAAATTCCAACAAAACCCCGAAAAAATCCATCTTGTTCATCATCTTTTGAATTTCAATTTTAAAAGAAATAAAACATAACTTGCTTAGCTCAGTAACAAGCCACAAATTTTGAAACCTCTTAAAATAAAATTCTCCTACAATATGCAAAACATTTAGCAAACAATAAAGTGAACAAAAAAAGAACGGAATAAAAATTATGGATTACATAAGCAACAACGAAATCACTCAACCAATGCTTTGGATCAATGTGATATTGTCACCTTTCAACATGATTCGACCAACCTTATTGCGATTCTTCGTCTTCATATTTACTTCTTCTGCTTCATCAAGCACGACATTCATATATTCATCAAAACCTGAATAAATAGCATGTGAAGATTATACATCTCGCTTGCTCTTATGCAAAAAATAATTTTAAAGTTTGAATTTTCGAAAAGCAAAATATTAACTTCCTTTTTAGATAATCAGCAGTAAAATGTATATCAAGAATACGAATTAGAATTTTGCAGAATTGCTAGACTTCATATGTGATAGAACAACTATTATTGCACGTTTACGTTTAACTTATCCAATCATACATGTAATATTACATTATGTAAAATGTGCATAGGTTTTTAAGTCTGATATGTAAGGACCATAATGGAAATGTTATCACCTAAACAACTAGTATGGTAACAGCTGCAAAAAAATTTCCCAGCTCCCCTACTATGCCTAACTCAAAAACTGGTAATAATCTCATAACTGTATCACATTCATCACATATGGAAAGGGAAAATTAGAAGCAGATTCGATATTTCTTGAATATCTTAGAGAAATAAGAGAAAAACAAGAATTCAGAAAATTTAAATATTCTTCAAAAAAAAGTTAATTAATAAGCAAATTACCAATGATATATCCTTCGATCCTGTGAGTGATATCCTCATAGAGCCATATCTGTATGCGCGATCGATTTTGCAAATATCGGAAAATCAAATTGATGGGTTGAACCATCACCTTCTGGACTTTACCACCTCTGGCTGCCATTGTAGTAAGAATATTCTAGCCAAAGGTTAAAGGTCAAAAACTGCAGATAAATTAACTGCCACAAATTTGACAGGTAAGCTGCGACTTCAGATACCACTTAACTTTCAAACGATGTCCCTTATTAACGCGCCTGATTTTCACGCCTTAAATGCAAATGTTTCGTTCCAACCTGATGAATTGGTTGGTAAAAATTGAAACGTGATTTCCCAGGCTTGTTAGATTAACTAAGACAGAAGTTATGATTGGTACAAATGCTGATAAGGTTATAGTGGATGGTCTCGTAGAAGAAGGACAGAGGGAATGAAAGAGTGTGTTGGCAATAAAGGCCAAATGATCAATGAAGATTTAAGGGAAACTTAAAGATCTATGAAAAGTGGGTTGAGATTTATCTGGTGCCGGTCAAGAAGAAAAAAATAGCTGTATTTTTGGACACGAGAGAAAGAGGTCAAAGAATGTTTCATAGAATTTAATTTTGGGGCAGAGTAAATAGATTAATTAATTTTATTGATTCTTGTAATGTTTGAAAAATTGTGACGTATAAATTAATTTTGACATACTTGGTCGTTAGTTCATATTTTTCAGTTAGACTTTGAGTGATTTATATGAGTCGAGTAAATTTGAAAAGAGTTGCTTGATTCGTTAAGTGTCCAAATATTTCTAATGCTTTCGAACTTTGTTTGTGGTAGCGTAGGGGAAACTTTTGATTATGATTATTGGTTATTGAAATAAACTTGGTAAAATTATCCATGTTGTGTTACACTATTTTAATCTTTGTTTATCAGCATTATTATTTTTTAATGTAGTTACATACATCTGCTTCGGACAAGAAGCATCTATTCATTTATTTTCAATTTTAAATTTTGATTAATTTATTATGTGGAAACTTCAGGGATGACGATCAATGAGAATAACAATAATGAGGGAAGTATGGCTGCGTTAGACCGTTATGTTGCCCCGGGTTTGCGACTTTGGATGCTTATCGCTTTGGTATCGGGAATATTGCTAATTATGGGTATATTTTTACTCATTTATATTTCTTTTACTTTTGACCATTGATTGTGTCCAAAACGATCATTCAAGCTTTTGTGTTTTTGTGACTAGCCAAATGTTAGATGAAGATAGATTGTTCGAAATGGGAAATAACATTATTAATAGCTGGCTTAGAGGAATGTTGATACATTTTTGTAAAACGCCACTGTCGAATTGTACTCACTGAAGTAGATCCTGGTAGTCTTGAAATAATGCATTCAGTTTTAGATGGAATGTTGCTAAAGGCTATATTTGATCGCTATTGTAGATCCCTTACATTATAATGTTTTGACTTTCAGTAGTGATCGTTTGTTGCTTCATGCGAATTCGAATACCCCGCACGAAGCGACAAATTGATTTAATTGCTGCAAGGAGGAAAATTCGAAAATCGATTTTATCTGCTGAGCATTCACCAGGTCATCCATTGATGTTATTATGTTTAAGAGTGTATTTTTACATCTGAATTGCTCTTTGCTTCAAATCTTGTGGATGTGCGATCTCAGATTCATTTGATAGATTTATTGAAAGCCAATATTATATCAATTTTTGAGAAAAATTACAAATCCTTTTTAGCAAGTATAACAGTGCGCAGAATGCCATTGACTTGCGCGCCTTTTAAGCAATGTTGATCGAGCAGTTTCCGGCTTCATTTAAAAACTTAGAATAGTGTGCAAAATAGTTCAATATAGACATTTATCGTTCTTTTTATTGTTTTAAAAATATTTTGTATTTTTAGACGAAAAAGCACAACCAATCGTAATGAATACGGCGAAACAGCCGGTTCATCATAAAGGAGGTAATCGTCGAGAACACGAAGATAATGCCGCTGAATCTATACCTCCTGTGCATAAGGTTTCAACACATGCTACTACTGCAGTTTAAATTTCATGCCATTGGTTTTTTAGTGAACAGAATTAATTACTTTTATTATTTTTGTTCAAAGCAGATCTACTGAATTACGGTATTCCTCTCAGCACAATTCATATGTAAGTAATACATGTGGTTAAAAGAAAATTAAAGCCTGTAGAAGTTATATTTAAAGTCATATTTATTGTTTGTAAAATTTTCGATACATCACGTCCAGAATAGCACAGCCGCATACTGGCATTTTTGTGCATCAGCTGTTTCCAAAAAAAATGCTTGTTTTAATTTACTACTAATTTAGTATTTGGATTCTATTAATTAGAATGAAAGCATATTTCAATATGCTACATAGAGAATAATTCGTGGCTTTAACCAATGCAATCGACAAAAAATATTGGTTTGGTAGGAAGTATTGTTTTTGCTTAATCTATAACAAATAAGATTGGTATTTTCTATCAAACTGATAGAAATTACTGTAGCACATTATGCGTGCTTGATACTGTTTGGTAGTGTATGATTTAGTTTATAGGACATGATATAGTTTTGCGTTATTATTCTAGCTTTGCAACTGTTTTATATGCAGCTTTTCCAATTTATGTGCCACTGAAATTTTGAAACAAATTTGAATGTATATATGTAGCGCTATCTTTTATGTTGCTTTTCATATTCATTCTTTCAAATTGTTGCATTTAAAAAAAGGAATTACTACAACAATACAAAAAATTACTTTATTCCCTTCTTCTTCCAACTACTTATCTTTTTTTAAATTTTCAATTTGAATTCTAAATCTATTGCCTTCACTGTTGCCATCGTTGTTTATTGTTTGTTGTTGACAAGCTTTAAAACTTTTTTTTTCGCTTTTGCTCAGTTGTCTTCTAGTCATAATCATGTCTTTTCACCATTATGCAAAATCCAAAATTTTACCTTTTGAATTTTGTTTAGTTTCTATATGAATAAATTATTTCCCAAACATTTTTTTCGCTGTTAATGTGGTATATGTTATCACGTATCTCGTACATTTCAAAAGTTCAAATATATAATGCATGAATTATAGAGAGCATGGATATGGATTTTTATTCGCTTGAGTGGATTAGTTGTAGCTTCAAATGAAGATGTTTTTCAGTTTTTGAGTCTGGGATCTTTTTTATGTTAGTGGCTAGGCAAGAATATGCTATTGATCTTCATCTCCTTATAAATAAGGTATCAATGGGAATCGTTGATAGTTTCTTAAACCTGAGTTGGATCAGATAAAATATTCCGGGATATTTCGCTTTAATAGAAGAAATGAAGGTTATAATAAGATTTTTCGTGTCTTACGTGAATTTAATTGTAGAGTAAAAATGTTAATTGCATGATCGAAATGGGAGGTGACAAGCAAGAACGATTCATTGAAAACGTAACAAATGAGTGGCAGGATCGAAGGGTGTCGAAGGCTCAAACAGAAAGTGTAGTCTTGTTGCAGGCTATGGGAAAAGGTGTATTGGCAAGGAAGAAATTTGCTAATTCAATAAGGTGTAATAATAATTTTGTTAATAATCCTTGATAAATATTACTTTGTCATACTATTATTAATAACTTTATGGTATATGTGACATGAAGTTGTGATTATAAAAGAATCAGTGGGTTTTCACTTACTAACTATGTAATATGCAATTTTCGAATCTGATTCATCCAAAATACCATTTAAAGTTTTCTTCAATCGTTTTGTTCAAAAGCAAATTGGACGAGATATGTCAATATGCATATGACAGGTTTTCTGAAGCTGAATATGGACTGCAAAAATAATTGAAAACTTGCAATCATATTTTTCAGGGAAGATTTTGACCACCTGCTGGGTGCTTTTGTGAATATGGAAAAAGAAAAAGAACCAGCTGATTGTAAAGATGTGTTACGGTTAGGTCGGCTTTTTGTTCGAATTTTTGAACAACCCTGGGACAACCAGGCGAGCTTTTGATTATTGTTGAAATTTGATTTTATATCTAACTTTGGCAAATGGATAAGATCTAAATGCTTCCATAATGAAATAATTCCATCATTTTACTCCTCAGTAGCAGGTTACTTTAAGAAGACGACAATTTGACGTATAATTTCTTTGCACTTGCGTGATTGCTTTATTTGATCTCAAACCTTCCTATTCGGGTATGAAAAATTCGTTCCTCTTCATAACATTGATTTTCCCAGCAGTTTACTTTTACTGTACCAAATTTATCAACCGAATACACGTTATTGAATTATTTGTTTTCAAATTCAGCTTATTTTTAGCGGCTTTGTCAGCTGTGTCGTTGTATGATATTAAGTATGTCGTCATGTAATGTTCATAAATCATTTGCTTCCCTTTTGCTATCTAAAAACCATCTTCAAGCAGCGAATCGCTTCATTATCTCTGTATATTCATTGATCGCTTCTGTCACTGAAAAACTTCAGGTCAGGTTTGAGAATCTTTGATCAGGATTTTCCACTGATATATTGTCGTAATGCTTCACACCGATAAATCCTTTTGTAATCACCAATGATAACTCTTGGCATAGTTGCGCTTATATAAGAAAGTAGAATTTATTTTAAAGAAAAATGAGTGATTAATGCACTTTCCGGCATAATTTTCAAGCTGTAAATTCCATGCAATTCATTTCCATTTAGTCCATTCATTATTTCTGAGTAGATTATTATTTAATGGCTTATGTTTTGATTAAAGCAATTTAAAAAGAACAAGTTGAGTTAATTTGTTACGTATTTCAGGTTGAAAAGGTGTCAGAAGGAAAAGCAATATCATTGTTTATCCATTTTTTAATCACATTTTCAAGCGCTAATAGTTGGGCCTTTGTGCGCAATAATGCCGAAATCTGCTCTGTTTTCAATCAGTTAGGTAATAAAGCTCTCAATACAACAATTGGTGAAGAGTTACGATACATTCAATTTTCGGTTCGTCTAAATTTTTGTAATGTAAAATTCAATGCCCAAAACATTGTGAAGATCAATTCAGCTATGGAGAAATTGATATTTAATTTTTAGATTTCTTCCATTGCCATGAAACTTTATGAAGTCTTGGATTTTCCCCTAATAATCAAACGTTATTTTAAATTACTTTTAAGCAACTGTTAAGCAAAATAGCAGCGAGTGGAAGACTTGCGCTTGGTGCTAGTGCCTTTAATGGGCTCTTCAATATATTATTCAGGTAATATATTATTTCATTTTGTGCCTATGTACATCATTCATATCTGTAGATGAAGAAGTCAGGTCTTATTTAAATTAAGTTTCAGGATATTGAAAAACTGTGATTTCGATTTTCATGTGTTCAATTTATTTGTGGAATACTGCCTTACTTGTCCGGCTTTACTTACTCATCTCTCTGCAGCTGTACGTTCGCTTTATTCGAAACATACTAAAATATATTACTTGTTTCTGAATTGTTCTCGAAATGATAAAAAAAGTTTTTGCAGAATATTGATTTACTAGTGGAGAATAAAATGTTTGAAAAAGCCATAGCTGTTCTAACGGCAAATCGAGTCTTTCCGAATAATTTGGATGGTAATAGAAGCTTATTTCTACTTGCCAATCTAATCCATTTGAGTTATCTCGACCAACATGTATGTTTTCCTCTTGATAATCGTTGGCAGTATTACTCTCTTTGTCAGAACGATTAGTGATTATTGTTTGCTGGTAGTTATTATTTGTGCTATCAAGTCTCATTTTCTGTCTTATTTCGATATGGTATTTAGTTTAATCGTTGAAGATTAAGGATTGTCCTCACCCTGATAAATGAGCGCATCCAAAAAAAGAGAAAATTGGTGTCTTATTTTTTATAACAAAGAAACCATTATCAAAAATTTGAGATTAATTTATTTCATTGTTTAATACGGAAAATATTTTCTCATGCATTGTTTTGTAGTTTATTTCTATTTAATAATTTTTCAGAGCTTAGTGGAATATTTGATTGATTGGACAGATATAATGAATAAAATGTTGACAAGATGTGATCGACTTGTTGCAAGGAAAAGCAGTCGTAGCCACTGGCATCCTATCTTTGGATGGTATTCGGAGCCACTGGACCGCAGGTGTTTTAAAATTCGGGTTGCTGATTTCTGTAGTCTATGAATAAATGTTCTATGAATTCATATGACTTTATACTTCATTTTGGTGTTGGGAGTTCAGTGGATAATCATATAAATTTCATTTTTGGAAGTTCAATAAATAAAATGAGTTGCAGCACGGAAGGTTCTCTGCCTCTTGTTGTACGCCAGTTGCAGTATTTGTGGTCAAAACCAGTAGTAGCGTGTTTGTTTGGTCAAGTATTACACTGTGATCCGGAAAAACAGTCACTGTACCGTAAATCTCAATCAGCAGTTGTTGTGCAAAGTGACCTTGCGACATCGATTCAAAGTAAATTGTTTTGTCGTGCGAAATCATGAGTGGATTAATTTTATCAAATAATTATATACAACCTGTGATTTGCATATTGAATTAACAATTCTAATTATTCAGAGCTTTGGAAAAAATTGAACATAGTTCGTGCAGAAGCTCAAGCAAATGAGGTCTCTGAACAGTTACCGGAGTTATCAATGACTGCTGTTATATGTCAGCTTTATCAAAATGCTTTACTTACGTTAAATTCACTGCATACCGATATATTGTCTGGTAAAAGCTTTATTGGAATTACAAAATTTACAGAAAAATGGGACAAACATTTTTGTTAAGAGATGTTGATCTCGTATAAGTTAAATATGAATAAAAAAGAATTCCGAGGATATTTGTGGTTTAGAGGCACAATTTGATTAGGTAAAGTTTAGGCTTGTGCCGAGAAGATTTCCTTCTTCCACTTTTATGGGGACATATTGTTGGCTTATCACCAGTTGACAATGGACTATCTCACATAATTGCACTGGTCGCTTCGCATCCCTCAAAAATTACTCATTTTGCCCCAATTGTTCTATTCGCTAATTGTGCTGCTTCGGTCATTTCGTGAGTTTCGTTTCATCTCATGAAATAAAAGTTATTTTTATTTTTCATCTCATAAAAATAAAGCGCTCTGTGTAATTTCTGATAAGCATTTCATATATGTTTATTAAGTGAGGGAAATTATCATGTTGTCAATGGACTACAACGAAGTATAGCTATGATAATTTAATTGTAACTATATTTGATTACTGTAGTATTTTAGTAACATCGAGAAAGCAATTGAAGATCCAGTAATGCTTATATCTTCATCTTGCAATTTTTGGAATAAATATAAATTATAAAACTTATCAAACTTATTTGATTCATCATTTCAGAATCCTTGACGAAGAAGAAATGTATGAGCAAGGTGGTCCATTCACTCTGGACCAATTGTGTGCTATTGCCAAATTTTGCAATTTGTTTTGTTTCCGTGTGATTTGGAACTCGTATATTGGTTAGTGTATATTCATTCATATATTGGCATTTATCAATAGCTTTAAATTCCTTTTATGATTTATCCGGGATCTTAAATTAAGTTAATAGATGATATTATTTCATGAGTGCATTCCAGACCTGAAGCAAATTTCATCTTGCCCATTATTTGCATCTATTTATCAGCTTTGTATGTTACTGTATAATCGTGATTGCCGAAGAGCTTTCTCAAAAGATCATAAATTCTGGATTGCTCCGTAAGTATTTGCTGTAAAAATTCTGATATCAGAAAAGATTTATTTTCTTACTTTTTTTTAAAAAGTATAAACATTTTCTTTCAGGGATATTAAAAGTTCACTCATAATGAACGAATTCGAAAAGAAAACTGAACGTGCTCTTTTTCTGATGTCTCATATGAGTCATTTAGTTGCCTTACATGATCGAATAGTTTTGTTCAGGTAGTCGCGTATAGTTTTTTTTTGCGTTTCAATTTTGTATTGATTTTTGCCTTGTAATAAAGTATTTGAAAAACGGCACTTCATTTCTTAATATTTCATGAATCATAACAAGCAAATTTTACTGACAGGGCAACAGGTTATATGAATACTTTCAGAAATTACTGATGAACTATCATCACGAAATTATATGCACAGAGTGATCTTGTTAATAAAAAATAATTTTTTTCCTTTATAGATTAAATAACTTTACATAATTAAAAACATGTAAATTTTATTTGCTTTAGGAAGTATATTGCATCAGAAAAAGAAAATATGGAAGGCATCCCAAGTACGATGATAACAGTAGAGAGAAACAGACTACTTGATGACGGTTATCGTCAGCTGTCATTGCTGTCGCCTACTGCACTCAAAGCAACCATTCGTGTAAAGTTCATCAACCAGCAGGTATATTATAAATCTTATAACATACTTTTCAATTTCAACTCTATTTTTTATTTTTTTTTTCGAAATATTCAGCTTCATTTTTTGGTTATTATTTCATTTTTTCAGGGATTAGATGAAGCGGGTATTGATCAAGACGGGGTGTTTAAAGAATTTCTGGAACTGACATTGAAACGTGTTTTCAATCCTGATCTCAATCTTTTCAAGGTTACATCCCAGTGTCCATACTTATTTCGTATTTACTGATCTTGTTAAAAGTTTTATCCCTAAATTGAAATTCTTAACTTTTCCAGTGTTCACCAAATGGGCAACTTTTTCCTTCACCAACATCAGATCTGCATGAAAATCATCTGGTTCTCTTCCAATTTGTTGGTCGTATGTTAGCCAAAGCTGTTTATGAGGTCTGTTTTACGCACAGCAAAATAATAATAAAGTAGTTGCACATTTAAATTTTGGGCAGTGATATGCTCAACATATTTCAATTTTACAGTTTATATCTTGTAAAAATGCTTGTATTTGAGGGTATCGTTACTGAAGTGCATCTTGCACCCGTATTGCTAGCAACTGTATTGAGTCGTAAATTGTGTGCATTTGATGAGTTGTCGCAGTTGGATCCGGATCTTTACAAAAGTCTTACTTATGTGAAACATTATTCGGATTCGGATGTTGCCGATTTATCACTGACTTTCTCAATTAATGAAGATATACTGGGACATGTACGGACCATTGATCTGGTCCCAGGAGGTCATGCAATACATGTTACGGATGAGAACAAGTAGGTTACTGTTCAATTTTTCAAATTATTAATTTTCCAGGTCTTGACTTCTCATATTGTATAGTCTCTTTAATGTATGGTTTCAGATTACGAGATATTCACATTCATCTTTTGTTACTTTCACACGATACGTTTAGTTTTTATTTTCTAGAATAGCTTATGTTCACAAAATGGCACAGTATCGCGTTTTCAATCAAACAAAAGAGCAGTGTCATGCTTTTGTGTCAGGATTTCTCTCGGTGTTGAATAACAGTTGGCTTTCATTGTTTGCTCCGCATGAACTTCAATATTTGATTTCTGGGCATTCGACGTAAGTGGTTGTTATTAAATAAAGAAATAATAATTTTACTTCACAGTGATACCAAATTATTAAGCGGTTTTGGTAAATATCGTAAAATGATTTTACTGCTGAATAACATCTAACAGAGGCTTTTATTGAAAATGGATATAATTTGTAAATCGTTGTTCATGGCATTCAATGAAATTTCTGATAGCTTTTGCAACCATGAAAGTTATTTTAAATGACAAATCTTCTTTTTTTACTTAGTGATATTGACTTACACGATCTTCGCAAGCATGTGCAATATTACGGAGGTTTTCACAATAATCATCGAGTCATCAAATGGCTTTGGCAAGTGTTGGAAAATGATTTTACTGCTGAAGAGCGTCGTCTGTTTTTGAAAGTTCGTTTATATTCTATTGAGAATTTTGTTATTAAAATTTCGGTAGAGTTCTCGAAACTCGTACAAGCATGCTTCATGTACTTAAAGTATTTTTCTTCGCACAATTTTTATATCCCATAAATTGAATCATATCATTACGATTTCGTAAAATAGGATGAATTGAGAAGCGTCAACTTATAATATTTAAAATTGGGAATATTTCATACGTATGGTTCTTAAATCAATTATTGAAGTTTGTGACGAGCTGTTCTCGTGCACCGCTCTTGGGTTTTGCATATCTTGAGCCTCCTTTTTCGATCCGTTGTGTTGAAGTATCTGATGACCAGGTAATAATTTACTTTTTGTCAGTAAATTAATTGCAATTTAGTAGAAATATTTAGCTTTTGAATTGAACTAACATCAATTTTTAATAATATTTTTTGCGAATAATATTTCTAAGCCTTACATTAGTTTTTAGGATCAAGGCGACACTTTAGCAAGTGTTGTGCGTGGTTTTTTGGCTATTAAGCGACGTCAGTCACCTTCACGACTGCCCACATCCTCTACCTGTTTTAATCTCCTGAAATTGCCGAATTATGGCAAAAAGTCAGTTCTGTTGCAGAAATTAAGGTATGCTGTGCATTCAGAAACAGGCTTTGAGCTTAGTTAAATTTGGATAATTCATTTTAATTTTCTAACTTTCAGCCTTTTTGAGAGTTGTTTTAGTCTTCATTAGTTTTTCTTCCTGTATGATTTCTTAGGGATTCGTGGTTAGTAATAATTTGAAGCAGTAGCACATTATCGTAACATTGCTTATTTTCTATTAGGATATGAAATGATTTAAGATAATGATCATTTCCTTATTACCTTTTCTTGAAGAAGGTGAGGTTTTGCAAAAGTTGTAAAAGTAATTAATTTGCTTTGTGATTTATATTCAAATTTAAACAGCTGGGATTTAATGGGATGTGTTTACTTTAATTGTATGAATTTTACGAAATTATTAAGCACTTTTCAATAATGGTATCAACTTTCAAAATCCCGAAGTGTTGGCATAAGCTATAAATCATTGTATTATGATATGAAAATGTGAATAACTTAGCAGATTCTTTTTTCTTTTTGATCATGTCGGAATGCTTTTACATTCCATTTACTTTTTCCTCCCAAAACTTAAGTACCTTTTACATTTAAAATATTTTATGATTACTCTTCTGTTTGTTGTTCAATGTATGTTACTGTAGATACTATAGTTTTGTATGATAAGCTTAGGTATCTGAGCACTCTGCGTTTGATACACGGTATATGTACATTCTGCATAATTTTTGTTTTATGGACCATACCGTATTACATCTTCATATTCCTCTTTTACACTACAGTTTCCCGATATCATTTTCTCTCCTCAAAAATGCAAATAGACCTTGAGTGATAACTTCATGGTTCATCAAATGTATTTATTTTGTACAAACGTAATAAATATATGCAGATTATTTCCTTTATGTGTCATATCTGTAAATTGTTGCTATTGCCAAACTTTATATATGCCTTAGTTTGTCACCTCATTGAAATTCAGTTGGTTCTTTTTTCCTTTCTATTCTCTAATGTGTGATCTCGGGAGGGGCAAGTCTTTAAAAATGTTCGCGTAAGAAATGCTATTGAAGTGCTATCAATGATGGAATTGGAGGAACCGAATGATGAGAAAAATGTTCCCAATGATAATGATGTGGAAGTGATCCGACGTGTTTTGGATGAAATAATTGAAAGGTACTTTTTGTGCTTGCCTTTATTCGAAATGTTTTAGGAATAATTCTAAAGCTGCCTATCCAGCTGTGATTACTCATAGCATACTGTAAAATTTTTTTTACATTTTTTTATTTGAAAATATTTCTAGTTCCTTTGCGAGGAAAAATTGGAGTTTCAATTTTTGAAGTTTTTCTTTTTAAATTTTTTCCTTTTCTTATTTACAAAATTTCTGAAATATTAATGGTGTTTTCAGCCGTCTGAAAGTAGTTTGTCAACGTAAAAGTGCTTGCTTTTCTAACTCTGAATGCTGGAAGGAAACAGGGATTAGATTGCTAAGCAACAGCACATCCCGTATTTTTGATAGCGAAATCAATGAACGGAAAGAAGGTCCACCAAAGAAGCGAAGGAAAAATTCATCTGATGCGAAGTTAGTGGAGGTGTTTTTATGGTCCATCTTTTTATGACTTGAATTCTTTCGTTAATTGAAATTTTCATTGAATATGATTTCTACTCACTTAACTAAAAGCATTGTCCAATAAAATCCTAAACATTGGTTTATACATGATCGACACTATATATCTGTAAGAATTTTTTAAATCTTTTAATTCTATTCATTATTTAGCTCTGACTGGAATGATGAACGTGCAAAAATACGGGCTGCCGCTGTTGATGTTGATTTTATTCAAAAATTCAGATAACTTCTTCAGGTTGCTTTATAGTCTTTCAGATGTTTACAATTTTTTATTTTTCCTTACAATTTATTTTGCGCTTACTGGTCGGTGAAAAAGATTAGTTTAACGAGTTACGCATCTTATCATGTTTCTATAATATTTTGCCCTGAAAATTCTCTGCTGCAACAATTGTGTGGTACATTTAACAGAAAAACTCTAAGTGAAAAAGTATTTCATTTCTAAATTTCTGCTCAAACATGGGATATATAATTTTTCAACAATTTGGTAGTTTTATAAACAACTCATTTTTTTCACTTTGTAGCACATTTCGAGGGAATGTTGTCTTTTAACAAATTTAAAATCAAATTGAGAATTTGGAGATAGATTTTCTCACTTGAAAAGTTTTCAGTGTATTTAACTAAAGTATATTCAAAATCTAAAGATATTTGTTGATTGTAAAATAGTTAATACTGACATCTCTATGTTTCGTTGACGAATTTGAGAAGACATAGATTGATTTTTGTGTATTTTTATTTCAGTCACATTGTTTTTTTTGGAGTTATATTTTCTTCTTTCATTTCCAAGAATTTCTTCCTTATCATGAAATCATTTGCAGCATCAATGATCTAATTGTTAAGATTTCGCAAAGAAATTGGATTTTTATGTGGCAAATTCATAATACTTCATGTAAATTCGTAATGCTTTTTTCATTTATGGAATCTAACAGTTTTTTCTTAACTTTCTGGATATTAACTTTCTGGATATTTCTGAGTATTGCTAGATTCCACAAATAATTATGAATTTTTCTAAAACCGATCTATAAATTGTGCACAAATGTCCCTCCTGATAATGTTTGAAGATGTGCGTAATATTTCGATTTTACAGTTGGAAAGTTATGTGTACCTGAATTTTTTTTAGTTGGAAAAGATTTTACTTCATTTGCTTCACAATAGATGAATATTACTAACACACATCAGTTGACAAACAGTTGACAAACAGTGTATGGTTGACGTATTTAGGGGTTTATTTCTTAATTTCTTTCCATTTTTGCTGCTCTTTTATTATACGAATAAATATTTATAATTCTTTGGTTCAAATTTCAAATTCTTCATGTCTTCAATTTTTAGATTTTAACTAACAATATTGGTGGGATGATATTTGGGTGAAAGGAATTAAAGTGATATCCATTCTCCATACAGTATATCACTCTTCAATCAGGGAAGTTTGTGGATGAGATAGACTGGATAAGTGACTTGAAGTGATAACTGATAAGCGATTGTAATTGATTTGAGTCCTACGATAATACACATAACTCATTTCTGTAGCAATTAGTTTTGGTCGGCATCATTGGCTAAATGAATTACGGCGTAATTGTAGGCTTTTATAAGTGTAATTGTAGAAAAGTTCGACCGTTGGAGGAGGAATTATGCATGCATATATACATATATGGGGATTCTTAGTTAATGGAAACCGCGAAGAGCACTGGATATTTATTAGACGGCTAGTGAGTAATCATTTATACCTCTATTCATTGTCAAGATCTCAACTATGAATACAATAGAATGTGTTAGCTGCATTTAATTTAACTTACCTATTATAGAGCGCTTCTTGGATTTACTAAACTGCACCACCTCGAGAATGAAAAGTTTTCCAGTCCTCTAGATTTGTTAATTTATCATTGATATCACTTGAGTAGCAGTTTTTATGTCATGTAGAAAATTAATACGGAAAACGTCGGTGATATGTTTGACTTCTCCCGTCTAGAATTCTTTCAGTAGCATTCTTTTTTTTTGCTTACTGGAAGATATTTCATGTGATGCAGTGTCGCACATTGTTCATGGAGTTATGTCTAAGATCATGTAATGCTTGGTTTTGAATATTGTTTGCTTTATGTTGAGAGCCATAATGAACTGCAGAATAAACGAATGTTCACGGTTGCTGAAGTTCTCATCAATTCATCATTCGAAATTTGTTTCCTTTTCAATTTCAATGATTTTGTCACATTTCCAAAACAAAAAAAATAACATGTTCCGGCATTTAAAAGAACAACAAATGTATTTACAGGGGCTTTAACGTAACTGTATAATGTCAAATATCATGTCAAACTTCATAAATCAATACCAAATTCAAACTTCACAAGTCAATATCAAACTCGAACTTCAAAAATCAATGTCAAACTGGTGTATATCTGCCTTTCAACTAGAAATCGAAAAAGCAATCATTTTTGCCTGTCTCATCTTTATTTTCATTTCCGCCAGGCAAATTGTCGAAATTCAATTCGAAACCTTCGTTATCATGATTCGATGCATTTGTGTCAGCACCATCGAAAAGTGCCATGTAGTCACTAGCACCAGCAACAGATCCAGACTGGTCTTAAAAGAAACTGGACATGTAATCGTGCCATTTTGTTATTTGTTAATTTGAAAAACATAACTTTGTTGATTGAGAAGTAGGGATATATTGTTTTTATTCTGAGAACATAAGTAGATCAGTAGATTTTATCATCCAATACAGCTCTTAGTTTAACTAAAATGTGTAGGATCCTGAAGGACAATGAATTTTATGTCAACAGAAGTGAAATTAGAATCAAAGTCAAATAAAATAATCTGAAATCATTGCAAATTACAAACGGAACCGATCCGCATTAGTTTGAAAATAAAGGAATAAATGTTTAAACAGTACTCCTGTGCTTACGTCAAATTTTAATTTAACATTCAACGACAACTCACTTTGCATTATAGCGGAAAGATTAAAAATTGCAGATGCATCAAAATCTGTATCCGTGCCGAGATAAGTGTTCGATAAGTTCATTATTGATTCACTGGGGACAAAATTCGTAAACTGTAAGATTTATATATAAACAAAATTGTTTTTTGTGGAGAATTACTATACTTTACAGAGAACTACTATACTCAATTACCGCAAAGTTGGAAGCCATAAAGCTCAGATTTATTTAAGGATTTAAAATTACTAACTAACTCACGCTTTCAAAGAAATTGGTAGGATCCAGATTAGATGAAGCAGCCTCTATTGGTTGCATATTAACCTCTGGAACCGTTTCACATTCACCTGCAAGATAAAGAAGTAAACGAACACGCAAGTAAAACCTTCGGTGATACGTCAAAATATATTTGTGATGGAGTTAAAATAAATTTTTATTTTATTCATTTGCGAGAAAAAGCAGAATGCGATGTTTATTTTTTGAGCAATAAGATAGTTGGCAAAGTGGTGTCCTTTCGATAAATCGAAGTGTGACTTAAATCGATATCTGGTCATTTTATTGCTGTATTATTTAGGAATTCTGGTAGCATACGTCAGTTCAACCTGTTCCACTAACCGTCATTGTAATCAGCAATGTTCTCTCCCTCACTTCCACCAGATATTGCAGTTTCCACTTCTTCCGAATTGTCAATAAAGTTTGAAATGAAGTTATTGTCAATATTGTGATCCTGCAAATTAATGGGAAACAAATCCACGTAAAAATTGTCCGAAAAATTGTTTTTGAGAGCCTCATTCTAATAGCTTATGGTGATAATAGTTTTTCTGCTGATTGGTACCACCAACTTCCTCAGTCCTATGTCAAATGCTATTATCATTTCAAATCTGAGCTCTACTTTAAAATCTTGTATATATATTTATCAGAAGTATGACTCGGCTCAATATTCATATCAATTAAACCATGTTTTTCATTCATGTCAATCATTCTTTCCTCAAATCCTACAGCATTCACTTTCAATTCATCGGAGGTCTGGCTAATTTCCTGGCTCTTATCCACTTCCATCGCTATATTTGATACAGTCTCTTCAATTTCCTGAGGTAAGAAACTTTTCAGTCAATCAATCAAAAAATGATCTGTTATTAACCGTTATAAGATTTTATAAAGATTATAGAAAATAGCAGAAGGCAGCTAAACTTATTAAGATTTTATGTGGACTAAACTCTGAAAAAATTTAAAATATGTTGCAATTTTCATATAAGGTTTTGGATTTAGATCAAAAATTCAATTTTGATTTTAGCAGATTAATTATTAAGTCCAAAAGTCACAAACACTTCTTTGCATCGAACAAACCTCGTTTATAATAATGACCTTAACATCTTCCTTCAATTTGCCATCATCTACAGCTGGCATGGTCACAGTTGTGTCGACTTCTTTTTGAAAGCTAAGATGAACTTCATCACCGGCCTAAATTTAATTGTGAATGAGCAGATATTTTATTGCAGCTTAATATACAGAACGAAAGAATAAAAAAATTCGTTACTGTAGTTCCTAGAGCTGTTTTTTCTCGCATGCAATCAAGCGATCCCATTTCTTCGCTTGCATCATCATCCCCAGCATTATTCAAACACAGTGAAGATTCCTCTACTTTTTCCTAAAATCAGTATTTACTCCGATAATAAATAACAGATATCCTGCCTTACTGATCTCTGATGTAGTATTCGTATTAATGACAAGAGAAAAAAATTCACCAGCTGTTTGGAGTGATCTGGGTGAATTCCATGTTTTCTAATCCATTTTTGAAGTTCCTTTCTACACTTTATTGTTAATATATTTAGAAATGAAAAGACTAAGTGGTAACAACTGCTCGAAATAACACCGAAATTATCAAAAATCATTTCGAAAAGCGACGGTATTCAGTTCTTAAAGAATGAATTTAGTGAACACGAAACAAATTCACAATTAAATCTTTGAAGAGCTTTTTTCGAAAAAATTACAGTTTACCTCAAGCGGTTGAATCTGACTGTTCTGTGACTGACCGTATTGTGACAATACCGATGTATCCAAAATTCCCTGATTTGATAATTCTTGAGTGAGCTAAAAGTTAATGGAATTTTTAGGATAATGATAATAGACGACTGAATACTTCCTAAGCACTTCACAACGATGTTGCAATACATCGAAAGCGCTCTTTAAATTCATTCCATTTTGATTACATGAATAGAAACTTTTTTTCGAGATACACTTCTAAAAAAATGAATTCCATATAAATATAAATTCCGCATTAATCATAAAGGCTTCACATCTGTAACTTCATTAAAACTTCATGCTTCCTTGTACTAAAGAAACAAAAATCTTCTCTGGGCTTTTGAGAGAACATTAAGCGCCTGTCAAAAAAGGACTGCAAAGATCATCTCATTTATTACGATCACAGCAATGATTTTCGTAAATTATTTTCATGACGACTCTCAAACTCACTGTTAATTTTCGATAGCTTCTAAATCTGAATACATGAGAGTAATCGCAATATAATTACCTGTGCAATAGTGACATATTCTTGTGCCAACTTTCTCAAAAGAGCATGATTTTTTAACGCGATAGCAGCGATTGCTACACAGAAATTTGTGAATGGCAGCTCACGGCTTTCCGCGACTAAATGTCCAGATCTCAGTAAAAGCAAAATTCAAACAATGATAAAGGAAATATGAACACTTCTTAGTTTTAGAGAAAGAAAGATAAATTAAAACAGCATCGCAGTCGTAGTAGTGGAAAAATGTATGGCAGATATTTTAACAGGATTAATTCATTTTATTTTACTTATTTCACTGAAGATTTCTATCAATATCAAATAAACTAAGCGTTTCCTTAAAATTTCAAGACAGAATGTGTTCCAAATTATTTTGATTATAACTCGATATAGGTACAAATTAAATACAAACAAATAGCTTCTTTCTCCTGAATAGACTGCAACAATCGCTCTTTCTTTGTACGAGCATCATCAATTTGTTTACAGAGATCGGCCAATTTCTCCTTCTCCTATAACAAATTGATGACTCTAATTCGCACAATTTTTCTCATAAAAAAAAATGAAAACTACCTTTTTAATGAAAATAATGCAACCTTATGACGCGCAATAACCCAAGAAGCACTAAGTAATTTGTTTTGAACAGCTTTTAAACGATCTGTGAGGAGTTGCTGGTCAGCCTTTTCTTTCACTTTTACTTCTTCCAACTAAAAACGTACATTAATTTATCACGGTAAACAAAAACGAGCAAACTTTATGAAAATTAAAAAATAAAATTATACAGTCTTTTTCAATTCTTCAATCTGTTCGTCAGCTTCTGCTTTTCGCATATGATTTATAAAGATCTGCTGGCGCATGCTGTAAAGTAGCATAATCACACATAGATTAATCATGATAAGAACCGCCGAAGAATTTTATGGTTTTATTAGTCAAAGTGATTATGTTAATGATAATGACTGCATATAAAACAATTTTGTGTAAGCAACTCTATAAAAAATGTGTCAAATAAATCTTGAATCTCAGATACTAAGTGGTCAGACAGTGTCTTAGCGATGACTCTTTCAATAATAAAATATTAAACGAAAGAAAGTTTGCTAAGATGTCTTAAATGAGATCACAATATTACATACCACTAGTTGCGATTTAAAATAGTTAATATCATTGACATGCCAGAAAGCATAGAATTCAATAAATAACATACTTCTCAATCTTCTCACGTCGTAACTGTACCCGAGCCCGGAAATGTTTTAATTCTTCTTCCTTCTTGGCAATTTCCATCTCCTCTTTTTCCAGAATCAATTTGATTTCATTTTTTTCCTTCTCAGCTTCTAGAGAATTGCAGGATAAAATGAAATCCACCATTAAAAAAATGTATTTGCATTCATGCAAATGTTCTCAGAGCAAACCTTCATTTTTGTATTGGTGTTTTCTCAGTATCTGCTTCATCTCGTCTTCGTCCCATGCTAGAAATTGATGGTAGAACAGTTATCAGTGAAATTTGTTGATTACTTTAAAGCTTCACATGATATTTGACCACAATATATCAATCCTTATCAATTAAAAAAAGAGGTAAAGTATGTCATTCCTTACTTAAATCACGCAACTCTTTACGGAGTTGTTTCACCAAACACTCTTCATCATTTCCATCAGAAAGCATCGTTGAAAGATAAGAATTGGTTGAAAAGAGCTTCCACCTGATAAATTACTATCTGTGAAAAATCGCAAAATGTTTTAAAATCTCGCAGTTTAAATTAATTGTGAAGTTATTATTTAGCGCCATTTGTTCTCTAAATCACGATACCGTATCTAACCCGCTTTTCTTTTCCAGAGCTTCCGAACTACAAATATTTTCTAAACCTAATTTTACACCATTCAATGCTTAATGAAGCTACACCATCATTTTCTGTACGATAAACAAAATCCTAAAACATCGAGGAACATGTACGTGATAACTGCCACATGTAATTCGCTCACAAATGCTCTCTTTAGTGGATCACTTCTGCTTCCATTTAGTCTATCTACGTGAAATATCATGAAAGCCTACATGCAATCTATACCATCCACAACGAGCAATAAGAATATTCATAATAGTTTACAACGGTAAGATTGATCAAGAGGTACTTTTCACATTCATTAACTCACAGTAATACCCAGTAGGGTTGATTGTCAGGATGACGTTTTTTTACTTCGTATTACTTTTAGCAAGGTTGCTTATATCAGAAAGATTATGCGTCTGAAGTGAAAATCATCCAATGATTGCTCAAGTATCATTCTTACATGTTCACATGCAGAAGTCCAAATAATATCTATATGTAGATCTCAACCGGATTTTCATATGTAAGCCTCCTCCCGGAAGCCTTCTTCCGGACGGATACTCATATGTGGATTCCGATAAGATGATTAACTCTGTCCGGTATAACTCGGTCAGCTAATTTTCATTATGAGTAACATGATGTAACACAGTTTCGTCATTTAACGCGAGTGATTAGTCGTTCATCCAACCAGGACTAATTCTGGTTCTTTACAGGATTCTTTATTTTTTCTAGTCTAGCTGAGATGAGTTTTAGATTGCAATCCCGGGTGTATACATAATGATTCGGAATTCTTTTTCATATTAGTTTTTTGAACAGGCACCCTTGCACCTTTTCGGTCTTATCAACATAATCGTTAAACCATTGCGATCAGAGAATAAATGAATAAATAATTTTAAGTGGTTTGTATCAAGCTAAATTTTTGCATAAAGTTTTTGTAAAAACAATTACAGAAAATTTTTATCATTGGTAATAATAATAATAATAATAATAATAATAATGGTAATTAATAATAATGAAATAAAGTAGTAATTAATAATGATAATAGAAAATAATAATAATAATAGGAAAAATGAAATGAAAAAAATACACACATATACATGAGAACACAGAGAGAGAGAGAGAGAGAGAGAGACATATATATCAATTATCATTGTTAGATAATAGCAGTACATTGGAGGACAATTAGTATATGTATACATTCGACTGTGCATATATTTTTCATCCGCTTGAGACAAAGTAAATCATTCAAAATCTGAAACCATTTCTGATATATATATATATGTATGCGAAAAGAGACAAATTGTTTGCAGTAGTAAAATGGAAGAAAAATTATATCTTACACATTTTTCTTTTAATTCGGTTTTAAAACAGAAAAAGAAATCGAAATTTTTGGCAAATCGTAAGGAATTTTAAAAAAGAAAGTTAATGGAGAGTAGAAAAAGGATGTATAATTTGTATAATCTAATTCAAATCACAGTACTACTATTTTGGCGTTTAGCATTGAAAGTAGTTATGGTGTAACATGTCGTCGTATTTACTTCAAAAATCGAACAATTTAAAAGACATTAGGATCATGAACTTTCCTGCCGTGAATCATCAAATATTGATACATTTTGCTAGCAAACAATAGTAATGTACAAACGAATAATAATAATAATAATAACATAGCTGCCATTTAAATCGAGAAATTTCTTCCTAAGAAAAAATATTGAAGTGACTAGGAAGATAGAACTTTTGAATTTCTAATTGATTATTTCGAATACATAACTGATCTAATTATCTCCGTAATTTGAACATTGTAATCATCAATATATATAATTGTTCAATTAAAAATTGAAGTCATGATTAAATAGATCATCAATTGTAATTGTAATAGTTGAATGATGTCTGTCTGTCTCTCTATCATTAATAAAAGCTCTTGAAGTTTACAAAGTAAAGGATAGAGAGAATATACGAATGAAAAATTTTGACAAAATTAAATGATAGGGGTAATAGAAGAGAGAATTATTAAAATTTGCAAACAAATTAATAATTAATAATTGTTGTTGAAAAATGCATATATCATAATTAAATGTCCGAAAAACCAACAATTTTCTTTGTTTGTATGTTGCATTTATTGATTTGATACATACATACCCGCTGTCAATAAAAAAAAATACACGATTTCAAGAAAAAAAAGAAAAAGAAGGAAAAATAATGAACGTATGAAGATCTGAAAGAAAGAAAAAAATTAAAATGAAATTTAAATTATGATTTGAAAATTGAAGAATTTTTTTTAATGAGCTTAAATATTTTAGGATATTTCAAAATATAAAATGATGATGCGAATTCTTTTGAAAAATAAAGATAGACGTAAAATATGGTAGCTTTAAAAAAAAAATTTAATTATCATTAAAAAAAGAAAACTATTACATGCAGTTATTGCTCCCGGTTGAAATACAAAATATTTAAATTTTCAACGAAAAAAATATATTCTTATGATAATAGTGGCAATAATAATAATAATAATAAATAATAATGATAATCAATTAGTAATTACAGTTAATTAATAACAATAATCAATTAACAATAATAATTAATCAATAATAACAATTAATAAATAATAATAATAGGTTAATTAATAATAATTAATTAATTGATAATAAATAATTAATTAATAATAATAATAGTATTATTATATTAGAAGTAATCATAGTAATAGTTTGGATAAGAAAAGGAAGAATAATAATGATAAAGTTTTAGTGGATATTATACAATGATACATGCGAATGACTGGCTCAAATGTACAATAAGGAATATCGCAGAAAGATATTGCGCATTGGAAGCAAAAATAAAATTTCAGATTTAATAAGTTGTAATGATTCGCGGTGGGATCATCTACAGAAGAGCTTTGCAACGACTCCCTATTTACAGTATCATAAATGATAAATGAATAAATGATTAAAAGAGAAAATGTTGCAAGCTTGCGTTACTACTGTAATTAAAAACTGAAACTGAAAGTACAATGGCAGTACCGAAGAATCGGAGGCCCGTTTTTTTCTTTGATCTCCTGTAAGTGTCATATTGTATACTGTGTAGCTGAGAAGTACGATCTCTACTATCCTTACAGAAATGTACAGTGTTACAGCATAGTACTTATTTTATCCTGAAATCATTAAAAAACAAACAATAGTACTATCGCTGTAAAATGAAATAATTGGCCAACTTTTTTTTATCACTATTAATTTTAATTTTTCACTTACAGGGCTGATAAATATTTCGTATCTTGTTATACTATTAAGAACTGCACTGATGTTATCTTTTACGATATCAGCTAAAGAGTACCAAGCAGTCGAACGCTAAAGACATATAACAGAAGAAAGAAGTATAATTGGGTAAGAATAAACGATTGATTGATCTGTTTGTTATCATTTGTTATAATAAACAGTTAATTATCAATGTAGCCAGAGAAAATAGAGAAAAATTAAAATATTAGTACATCAATGAATCAATAATTGTTTGAAGAATATAAGCTTTCATTTCGTAGGAAAAAGAAAATTCCCCAAATGAAATTATTTCCAATTTTTCAACTAGGAAAAAAAACTCAAAAACTTCATCGGTAACTCTCAAAGAAACCTCTCGGAAAACTCTTAAAACATTTTTTGGATAAGTTAACGATCTGACTTTTTTTTAAATATTTTTTTTTACTCCTAACTTTTTAAAATGTTTTACCCGAATAATCGTAATAAATGAACAATATATTAACTTATAATTTTTGATCTCGTGTTATTCCCGTAAGAAGATGTAATTCCTTCATCTAATTTGGCATGGAAATATTATTCGGAGTAGAGATCACAGCAATATCATCTGACTGGGAATCGACAATTCGGTTTCTTCCTTTACGATATACTTACTTGCCTAACACTTCAATAGTCAAATTTCCTTTAAATTAAAAAAATTAATGAATGAAGGGGAAACAAAATAATAATAATAATAATAATAATAATAATAATAATAATAATAATAATGAGATGACCTTGAAAATAATAAAAGGTAATTTGAAAAGGATAATAATAAAATAGATTTGAAGAAGTAGGGGCATATTGCAAAAAACCTGAACATATGTCAATTATTGCTGGGCTTTTTATATATCATATCGAAGTGAGGGAAAAATAAATAAATTTAAAAGAAGAAAGGATGAAAACATATAGCATATAAAAGTAATAGTTTGCTTTCATATACCCTATCTATCATGTTGAGACAAAAAGGAGGCAAATGATAAAGAAAAAAAGGTATTTCAAATTTTATAAATTAATCAGAAATTATCTTTTTTAAATAAAATTTTTTTGAAGCTTAAATTTAAAAAATAGCATAAAGTTTTTAAATTATACTTCGTCACTCATAACGACATCAACGACATACACGCGTTTTTCAGATAATACAATGATCCATTGAAAAATAAATAAACTATAATGCTATAAATGTTTTATGCAAATTTTGTTATAGTTAAAACTAGTTTGGTTTAACTAAAAGATTTTCATGCGTATAATTTGAGAAAAAAAGATTTGAAAATAGAAAAGTATTTAAAGAAGAAGAAAGATCAAGAAAGAGTAATGAAGATATGAAATTACATTATGATTAGAGAAAAAAATGATAGAAATTGAAAGAAAAGAAGTAAGGAATAATGAGGGGAAAAAACGATGAGGAAAAATTTTCTGTTGAAAAATTAAAACATAATTGTCTCCTTCATTTGTTCCATATAGTCATTAAAAAAATGTACGAAGAGGTTAATTTTCAAATTGTTGTGCGCATTTGTCGCATATTGTTTTTAACTCATTAGTAGACAAATTGATGAGTGACAATT